CCCCCCCCAGAGAATGATCCTGGCCAAAATGCCATACTGGGGGATTGAGAATCCTACCCAAATAACTGCTCTACTCTTTTTAAGAAAGTGACTGGAATGGTTATAGTCCAGTAAGTTAAACACAAAATCGAATTGTTTTTGTCCGACTGTTTCCATAGAGCAGTTCTTGTATGGTGTGTGCGTGTGTGTGTGTGTGTGTGTGTGTGTGAGTGAGTGACAGAGAAAGAGAGAGAGAGACACACACACACACACACACACAGCGGCACGGGGAGAGAACGCGATTATTGCCTGACGGCCCACAGATGTGAGCCTCAGTACAGCACGGCCCAAGTTTCCAGTTTCACCAAGCGTTTCATCTATTTCTTAAATCGTGAACCAGCACAACGGCCCAACCGAGATTTTAGTGCCTTTGGCAGAAGGGAGGAGAGGGGAGATAGACCGGAGTGTGCACGTTTTTAGAAACCAGGCACCCCTGTAGACTACAGCTCAGCAGTCGTGGAACCAGCTGCCCCCTAGGGGTCGGGAGCCATGGAGGAAGGGGCGCGCAGGGCGGGTACTTTTCTGGGGCGAGACGGTCGAAGATGAGGTCTTGCTCGTCGTCGGGCTGCACAGGAGGCCCGTCGTCCCGCTGGGCAACGGCGTCGGCGTCGGGCTCAGGCTGGGGCTGACGACGCTGGTTAGGCGGGGGCGGTGCAAGTCATCGTCCCCATTGCTTTCAGCGCCGTCGCTCATGTCCGAGAAGTACTCGTCGCTGGACGTCCGGTGGAGCGCCACCTTGTCCCTCGCCGCCTTCTCCTTTTCCTCCTCCTCCACCTCTGGCTCCTGGCCCTCCTCCATCGCGGCCTTTCTGAGGCTGCGACGCGGTGCTAGCTGGCCACAGCGGGCGGGAAACGGGGTCTCGGCGGCTCGGGGCCGACGCCGCGGGCGGACCGGGCCTGGACGCGCGCCCGGTGGCGTCAGGGCCGCCGTCTCCCTGGGCAACTGCCGGGCGCGCGGCCCCGAGCCTGGGGGATTTAAAGCGGCAGGACCCCTTCGCCCCGAGGGTCGGCGGGGCGGGGAGAAGGGCGGCGAGGGGCTGAGAGCCTCTGAGCGGAGCCCGGCCGGCAGTCTCCTTTCGCACCAGCTCTCCGCGGTCTCAGAGACCCCCAGCAACCTGCAGCAAAACGGTCTTCCTTCCTTTGGGGCCAGTCTCTCTGGGTTTGAGCGGGTGGAGGAGCGGCTGCACCCAGAAGGCCACTTTGTATGGCTGATGCTTGAGTTTGGTCTTTGGGTAGACAGATGCTGGTTGGGACCTAACGATAAAACTTTATTGACAAAACAGGCACTGGCCCTTGGGTTGTAGTTTGCGGATTTGATTTTTAACAATATTGCCTTAAATATTAGTGAGATTTTTGCGCGCGAGGAGTGCCTCGGTCTGGTCCAGGTCCTGTTTATTGCTTCTTCCTCCCTCCATCCCTTCCCCCCTCCCCCCTTTCCTCCATTCCTCCTTTCCTTCCCTTCCACGTTTGGCCATCTAGGCTTTGTTTTCAGTTCCTTGTACTTAACTAAAAATTTTGTAAAATATTTGTGTACACAAAGCGGTACACAAAGTAATGTAACAGACATCTGTGTCCCACCCAGTTTGGAATGTCCACCTTCGCTGTAGAGTTCAGCTTCCTTTCAGAGGACTCTCGAGAAAGAAATGTTTCTGCTGCTTGACAGGAAGTGAAAACGCGGCAGAGGCCATCCGGGTGCTGTGAACAGGGCCTGGACTGACCCTCACGTTAAGTGACCAGGGTTAGGCTGAGACATCCCCTTGTATGATCTCTCCTAAATCACCTGACCTCTTTAGGCCTTCGTTTCCTGGGTGTAAATTGGGAATAATAACACCCCTAGGATGTTTGTGGACATCCACGAATGTGAAATGACTGCCTACAACTGTCAGGGCATTTCAGCCAGAGACCACCAGGAACACATACGTAATTAGATAAATTGGTTTATTGCTTATAGCAAGCAGCAAGGTATCTTAGTAAGAGAATGTTAGAAAGAATCGTTTAGGCTGTGGTTAGATGATTTGGGAGAAAGTCTAAGGAGGCAGGGTTTTGCTCAGAATTGGATGCTGTCAGAAAGTGGGGGCATTCTATGAGTTGGCACAGTGACCTTATTTTTGTCTGGTCTTAGACAAAACTACAAAATGGCTTTGTTTTGTTTCATTTAATCATGGCTTCAGAGTAACCTTATGTCTTACTCTGTTCGGGGTATTATAACAAAATAGCATAAACGGTGTGGCTTATAAACACTAGACGTTTATTTCTCACAGTTCTGGATGTTGGAAGGCTAAGACCAGGGGTGGCAAATTTGGTGTCTGGTGAGAAACTACTTCCTGATTCATAGACCTGTTTTTTGACTCTGCCCTCACATGGCACTCCCTGGGGCCTCTTTTATAAGGGCAGTAATCCTCTTCATGAGGGCTCTGCCCTTATGACCTAATCACATCCCTAGAGCCCCACTTCCAAATACCATCACATTATAGATTAAGTTTTTACATAAGACTTTAAAGAGGACGCAAACATTCCATCTATAGTACCTTTTCTGAGATTGTTAATTTTTCAGAATGTTTCTGTCCAACAGCAAAACAAAATGGGCTAGCCGTGTCAGACCAGCTTGTAATCATATTGAGGTCTAGCTGTGAATATCAGGTCAGTTTCTGGCATCAGGGACTCCCAGCCATGAGCCTTTCAGCCCAGGGCGCTTGTATTAACAGGACATTGAAGAGAGAGGGAAGGTAGAAGTTAGGTGTCTAGAATCACTAAGCAACATTTTATGACTGTCACATCAAAC